ATACAGCTGCCACCAAAATATACAGCTGCCACCAAAATATACAGCTGTCTTAATGGGGGTCCTGGGGGGAAGTGACATTTTCTGATTGCTGTTTCTTGAGAAAGGGTCTCACATAAGCCCAGGCTGGGCTAGCCTCAAAATGTAGCTCAGGATCATCTTACACTTCTGACCTTCCTGCCTCCACCTCTCCCGTGCTGGGATGATGGGCATGCACCACTCTGCCTTGTTTGCGCCAGGCTGGAGATGAAGCCCAGGGCTTTATGCTAAATGAACAGTCTACCGAGCTATAGTCCCAGCCTTGGTTTTGCGGTTTTGGTTTGATGTTTGTTTGTTTGTGCGTTTGTTTTTACATTTGTTTGTCTGTATATATGTTTTTGTAGTCAGGAAGGGGAGCATGAGAGCCACAGAACACATGAAGAAGTCAGAGAAAACCTAGGGATTCAGTTCTGTCTTTCCACCATGCGGATTCCAACTATCATAAACCAAACTCAGGCCCTCAGGCTTGGCAGTGAGCGCCTTTACCTGCTGAGCGTTGTACTGACCTGAGGTTTGCTCACTTTCTATTTGTTTTGTTTTGGGGGGTTTTGTTTTGTTTTTGATAGGATTTCAATATTGGCCTGGAACTCACTATGGCAGACCAGACTGACTTCAACATTCTGCTGATCCTTCCGCCTCAGCATATTCAGTCCTGATATTACAGGGGTGCACCATCTAGTCCAGCAAGTGTTTACAATTTAAACCACTGTTGCTTAATTTTGAAATTAACCAAATTAGTAGTAGCCAAACAAATATCTCAATAATGGGATATCTCACACCCCACTCCACTGTATGATACAGTTTGCTCTTAGGTCTCAGTGTGGAGACATGGTCTCACCGCATAACTCTGGCCTACCTAGAACTCACTCTGTATATATCAGACTGGCCTTGAACTCAGAGATCTGCCTGCCTCTGCCTCCTGAGTGCCAGGCACTACCACACCTTACTCTAAGATGCAGTTTTAGCACCTTTTAAACTAGAATGCATCATATAATCAGGCACATCTCAAAAATCACCTTTGACCTTTAAAATAAAAAATTAACAACATTTACTAAGGCCAGGTGTAGTGATGCACACCTTTAATCCTAGCACCTGAGAGACAGAGGCAGAGAGATCTCAGTGAGTTCGAGACCAGCCCGGTCTACAGAATGAGTTCCAGGCCAGCCAGGACTATGTAGAGAAACCCTGTTTTGAAACAAGCAAACAGAAGAATAACACCTGGATTCTCAAAATTACACAATCACCGAAACCTGACCAAGCTTGGCATGCTGCTGCCTGCGTGTGATCTCAGCACTTGAGAAGCTTATGCAGGAGGACTGTCTTGAATCTGAGGCCAATCTGAGCTATGTAGTGAGACTAGGCATAGCCAAGGATAGATAGAAAAGCGATGGATGGGTGGATGGATGGATGGATGGATGGATGGATGGATGGATGGACAGATGGATGGATGGATGGATGGATGGACAGATGAATGGATGGGTGGATGGATGGATGGATGGACAGATGGATGATGGATGGATGGATGGACGGATGGATGGATGGGTGGATGGATGGATGGATGGGTGGATGGATGGATGGATGGACAGATGGATGATGGGTGGATGGATGGATGGATGGATGGATGAGAGGTCAACAAGATAGGGCTTAACAGGTGGAAGCTTGTACCACCAAGGCTAATGACCTGACCTCAGAGTCCCTACAACCCACATGGTAGAAGAAGAAAATCCAACTCTTAGAACTCATCCTTTGACTTCCCCACACTCCCTGTGGTTCTCCACCACCACCAACACACCCCCCCCACAACAACAACAAACGTAGGACCTAGAGAGAAGGCTCAGAGTTAAGAGCACAGATGGATCTTGCAAAGGGTCAGGGTTCAGTTCTCAGCACTCCCAGCTGGAAGGTTCTCAACTGCCTCACAGTCCGGATCCAGAGACTCTGACACTCTCTTCTGGCCTCTACAAGCACATGGTGCACATACGGACGTGCAAGCACTTACACACACACACACACACACACACACACACACACATACAAGGAACTATGAATGGAGGCTAGAGAAGTAGTCAACAGTTAAGAGCACTGGCTGTTCTTCCAGAGGACCCAGGCTCAGTTCCCAGCACCCACATGGCAGCTCACAACTGTCTGCAGCTCACAACTGTCTGCAACTCTAGTTCCAGAGTATCTGACGCTCTCACACAAACATGCATGCAAGCAAAAAACCAATATATAAAAAATAAAGATATAAATAACTAAATCTTAAAACAAATAAATGTAAGAAATAAAAATCTAATAATGAGGATATTATATAATAGACATATAAAATTCGTGAGTTCTAAAGTTCAGCAAATCAAAGTTTTGATTTGAGGAAAGAGCAGAATATTTTCCATTGTTGTTTTTGTTGTTATTTTGAAACAGCCTCTTGTAGGCCAGGATGGGCTCAAACTCAGTGTAATCCTCCTGCCTCTGAGTGCTGGGACTGCAGGTATGTACCATCATACCCACCTTGGGAAAGGGATTTAGAAACTCCCTCCACACTTGGGATGCCTGCCTGCCCACCTTGGTCCTTACCAAGTTGTGGCTGGGTCTTTCTCCTCTCCCCAACCCCAGAGTGGAAGTCTTCAGAAGCAACAAGCAGACTAGTCCTGTGTGAGGCCTCAGGGGAGGATGAAAGGAAGAGAAACAGATGAGGAAGCAAAAGAGCGAGACAGAGAGACAGATGAGGAAGCAGCAGAGCGAGACATGGAGACAAATACAGGAACAAGAGATGGAAATGGCTCAGAACAGACCTGAGAATTGGTGGGAAGACACGACTAGGTAAAAGGAATTATGAGTTCAGATCTCAGGCCTTCCAGACTCTCAGTCCTGCCTGACCTGTTCCTAGCCAGGCCTAGCTCAGACCTTCATTAACCCAGCATCACCCTGTCCTACCCAATCCACACTCCATCCAGTCCCACTACCCCAGCCTTAACAGCAGGGTTACTCACAAAGGCTTACGGTGGAGTCTGAGGCCATGGCCAACCGCAGCCTCTTGGAACCCCTCCAACTGTCATAGAACCCACCCCACCCCCAGCTGCTACCTAGCCCAAATCCCTGAGTGCTGTCTGGGGACAGAGAGACAGAGAGCTGGAGCCACAGACAGAGGCACACATAGCCTTAGAGTCAGACTGACAGGTATCCAGGAGCCATGAGAGTGCCTGGAAGCAGAGGCTGATGCGAATTGAGTACATTCAGAGACTACCCCCATCCTGTTCTTCAACATGGACCAGAACCCCTCTGGCCTCCAGAGCAAAGAAACAGCAGCTTCCTACAGCAGGCAAAATGAAACCCAAGACTCTCCAAAAGTGACCTCCAACCTCCAAGATGCTGCCCATGGTCAGCAGGTCAACACGCAGGCACCTATGCCCATCATTCACACTCGCAAATTCAGCAACGTGGAGCAGTCAACGTCTACACCTATGACCCGAAGGGTTAGCATTCAGGAACCACCGGCAACTGTCTTTCCCCCTCGCAGGGTCAGTACACAGAGTTCCCCATCCACTATTCTCCCTCGAAGGTTAAGTAATCAAGAGACCCTTCCTCAGGGTTTCCAGCCCGATACACAAGACATACAGTCTGTGGCCTACAATCGATGGCTCAGTTCCAGAGAGACTTCTTCCCTTTACCATAATCGCCGACTCAGCATCCTAAGTTCTCATACCCTGTCCAGTGCCCTGTCAGAACTCCACAGCTCACAAATCGAAACTGAAATCCACCCCTCCACAACCCAGTCATATAGCCTCAACAGAAAACAAACGCGGCCCAGTGTGGATGTTCCCCCATCTATAACCCAGAGCCCACAGGCCAGCATCAGAAGTTTCGAGTCCTTTGTCTGGGACTCCAAGGACAGCTTGAAAGAGTTTTCAGAGGACTCTATATCCACTCACAGTACTCTTGGCAGCTCCTCGAAACAGTCGAGCATTTGTACTACAATGAACACTAGTAGGTGAGTACATGAGGAATGTGGGGGTGGGGTCATAGTCAAGCCTGGAGTTCTACAGCTGCATTTGAAACTAGGGGTGTAGTGGTGGGCAGAGGAACACCTGGGTAAACATAAAAGATAAGGTCTGGTGTTTTGTTGAGATGGTGTCTCAGGGTCTCTGTATGTAGACCAGGCTGGCCTCGAGCTTAGAGATCCTCCTGTTTCTGTCTTCTGCACTGAGACTAAAGGCATGTGCCACCCAGCCTGGCTTCTCAGGTTTGAAGAATTGTGGGATGACTGGACGGGGTAGATGGGCTTCCTGCTGATGCCAGTCACATGATCTGTCACAGGACTCAGAGCAAATACTGGACACTGCTTCCCATAGGCTGGAGGCTGTTGCTCGAAGCCAAGAAGATCAGCAGGCACCTCAGCCTGGTGCTGACCGTGGCCGGGATGCTGATGCTAAGCTTCACCGCCTTGTGGAAGCCCTGGATCCACTTCCAAGTGCCTCTAGGACCCCCAGGGGACCCCGCTGGCCCCAAAACCATCCCCATCGACACCATCTTCTTCATGCGCTGCCCTGATATCTCCTGCATGAATGAATACGATAAGAATGCATGTAAGGTTGGCCCCGCCCTCCTCCCTCCAGAGACCCAGAGAACTTCAAGAGCAGTTCTCCCCTGGGGTTACTCTGATACCCACACAATGACTTCATGCCCAAGAGCCTGATGTCACTGACCAAAAAGCGTACCTCACATCCCAGATCTGATGCATTCAATACCCATTTTATTTTTAGAGCAGCCCACTACTGGTTTGTGTGGGCATACATAAGTGTGCAGATGCAAATGCATCTGTGCATGCTTGTGTGTGTGGAGGCCAGAAGACAACTTCAGGTTTCATTCTTCAGGAACAACCTTAGTAGGGGATTCAATTACTATGATAAAACACTATGACCAAAGCAACTTGGGGAGGGGAGAGTTTATTTCACCTTGATTTCAGCATCTGTTTCAGCAAAGCAAAGGTTTCATTTCTCTGGCTCTTAATTCAGTCTTGGGTGGCTTACAAGGCTTACAACCACCTGTAATTCCAGTTCCAGGCAATCTGATGCCCTCCTCTGGGCTCTAGTATGTGTGTATGTGTGTGTGTGTGTGTGTGTGTGTGTGTGTGTGTGTATGTGTGTCTGTGTCTGTGTCTGTGTCTGTGTGTGGTGTCTGTCTTCTGTCTGTCTGTCTGTGCCTGTATCTGTCTGTGTCTCTGTGTGTGAATGTGCATGTTACACAGATGGAGGCCAAAGGTTGATGTCAGGCACTTCCCTACCCTTCCATCTTTTTTTAAAGGATGCATTTGTTAGACATAGGTTGTCAATATGTAGACCAAGCTGGCCTCAATCTCTCAGAGATCTGTCCTTTTTCTGGTTCCCAAGAGCTGGGGTTAAGGCATGCACCACCATGACCACCTATTTTTATTTTTTTATTTATGATATCTGTGTGTGTCTGTGTGTGTTACGTACATTAGTGCAGATCCTCACGGAAGCCAAAGAAAGGCATCATATTCTCTGAAACTAAAGTTACAGGTGACTTTAAGCCACCAGTGTAGGTGATAGGAGCTGAACTCTGTCCTCCAGAAGAGCAGCAAGCACACTTAGCTGCTTAAACCATCTCTTCAGCACAATCCTGGTGTTCTTGATTCTCCCCTTTTCCCAGATTTGCTGGACATTGCCTGGGCCTGCCTCCTCATCTCCGGTGTGATGAGTTTCTGTGTGTGCATAGGTCTCATCAGCACCGAATTCTTCCCTAGCACTAACCTGCCCTTGATGGACTTCTCTCTCTTCATCTGCAGCCTCATGACAGGTGTGTCACTACGATGCTTTCCATGGGTGCCCATCACAAAGGTAGCCCCATCCCCTCTATACTCAGCCTATCCCAGCTTCATCCTTACCCTCAGCCCCAGCTCTACCTCCTTATAAATCCCCAGATATCATGACGCCTCTTCCCCTGAGAACAGCCTCACTCTCTTAGCTCCCATCTCATCGCCAGCAAATCTAAACTCCAGGTCCTCTTCCCTGACACCTGGTCCACCTCCACCTCATCCTGAATACATCTTTTCCCAAACCACCCTCTTTACTCCCTCCCTCAGCCTCTTCACAAATCTCAACAGCCAACTTGGCCTCAAGCCTCATTACCCACCATGACTGTTTCAAGGTCAACCCGACTCTTTCCATCTGAGATGTTCAGCCTCATCTTCAGTCCCAATCCAACCATAGTTTCACCTCCTCAGTCCACACTCCAACCTACCAGTTGGGAACCTCCCTCTGAAACTCATCCCAAGCAATTCCCCACTCCATCTTCTTCTTCAACCAAAACCCAAGAAACCTTCCACCTGTTCTCATCACCAGCACATCCTGGACCCCAACCTCTACACACACAGCTCCATGTAGAGTTCTGTCCCACCTTCCAAAGAGTTTCCTTCAAACTATTCCTCTCTTTTCTCATCTCTTGAGTAGAACTTTTCATTTTTCTCTTTAAAAAAAACTGGGGCTCCTGTAGCTGAGACTGACCTTGATCTTCATATATATGCAGCCAACTATGTCCAGTATGAACTTCAGCTCCTCCTGTGCTGAGATAATAGGTGTGTGCTGGCATGCTGTGTTTATGTGCTGCTGGGCATGGAACCCAGGAATTTATGCATTCTGGGCAAGTACTCTACCAACTGAGCCACAACTCAGCCCAGTGGAGATAATATTTTCTGCCATGTGAAAATGTTGTGAGTATTCAATTAGAAAATGTCAACTCTGTTATTTCTGTCACCACATTGAGTCCCATGGTTGGTTCAGCTAATCTGACTAGCTGGGCAAGAATCCTCTTCCTCCCTGACCACTCTGTGTGTGTGTTCCTCCTTACTCAGTAGAGAATGGTGGTTCTCTGGTCAAGGTCATATAAATAACTGGAAATCCCCTGCTAAAACCTCCAGACAAGTTTCTAGGGTCCATCCAAAGCACACAGGGTAGTGAAAGGTCTAAGACTTCGGACATGTGTAAATGAGGTACTCTATGTGGTCTCCCTCAAAAGAAGTCATGAATGGTGGCACGGGTCTGAAATCCCAGTGTTCAGGAAGCTGGAGTGTGAGGATAACTGAGATAAGAGGGGACAGCATTTTCTGCTACTTTAATAACTAACACTCACTGTGATAAGTAATTCAAAACAGACATGCTGATTAGAACACCTCATGCCTACACAAAGACCCAGATGGGGAGATGTTGAGGGCATTTTAATTAGGAAACAAGTGATGTTGTCCTCCTGTCCTTGATGATAATTGACCTAAACTTCAAGTTGTGTCACAAAACATTTTTGTAGAAGACCAGCAGTGCTGAGAACAGAGAGCAGTGCTGAGAACATGGAGCAGTGCT